GACCGGGGCGGGCACCCACTGAGCGCAGGCAGTGGTGGGCAGCTTGGTCTGTTTTGGGGTGAGGTGGAAGGGTTGTTTGCGTCTTAGGCGGTTTGCAGCCCAAACTCGACCCAGTTGTGGGCAGCCCAGGCCAGGAATGTGGTGGGTACCTACTGGAATAAAATAAACTGAGGGAAATCATCGGAGATATAATGTACAAACCAAGAAATAACACCCAGCTCCCTCTTCACTGTGGCTGCCTGCAGGAGCCTTGACTAGGACCCACCCAGGCCCATCTACATGTCCACCCTCCTTTTCTGGTGCCCTGTGCTGTAGCTTCCCTCCCATCCTAATCCTGCACAGTCCCTCCCTTTAGCTCCTAAGAGGGGTGGGCTTGGCCTGGGGGATTGGGAAACCTGGGGCGTTTAGGGCTTGTTTGGAGTAGGAGAGGAAATGACTTCCCTGTGCCTCTGACCCACTTGGCTCACCCCCTGCGGAGGCTCTGGCCCTTCCCTACTGTCCTGCCTCCCCCTTCTCCCATCCAGTCAAGGATTTTGCTGTTAAAAGCCATCTGCTCCCCAGGAGCCAACTGAGTCTCCTTTCTGCCAGTAAGAAGGTGCCTGGAGTGGCTGCGGACACCATGTAAAATAGTGACATTGATTATGACACCCTTAAAGGGAGTAATGCGTCTCTGCATGTGTTTGTAAGAAAGAACTGGCTGCCACTGAGAGTTTTCCATTTTGTTCCAGATCACCTCAACAGAATAGACTATCAAAAGGAACCTGAAGAGCCTTCAAAGAGTTAGAAACAAAATTTGAAAAATCTCTCTCTCACACACACACATACATTGTGGTGAGTGGTGTGATTTTTAAAAATAATTTCCACTACATTTCCATTTGTCCTGCAACTCAAGGTAGCCATCTCAGGATTCATACATCAAGACATAAAACAAAGGGCGGCTTTGAAGTGGATCACCTCAGTGTGAACTGCCGCCGGTTACATGATAACCGATCATCGGCCTTCAAATTTATGGCGCTTTAATGGGGTGAGCCCAGTGCCTTAAATGCAGGGCGTATTACATATTAAGTTATCTGGGCTAAATAAGAGTGATTTAGAAGGCGCGTCCAGGGCTTCCCATAGGGCAGAAGAGCTCTGGCTGAGAGATCGGGAGAACGTGGGCAGAAAGCTGCCTCAGCTCTGCGGTAAATACATCCTATTCTGAGCAAACCCAAAAAGTAGTAGTTTCGAAATGAAATCCCGAGGTAGTAAAGCCCACAGAGAGGGAAGAATCGTTGCTAGGTTCCAGTGAATTAATGGGGATGCCCAGCAATATTGGTGTCCGCCAGAAAGAGATCTGTGGGTTTCCAAGGCCCTGATTTAGGCAAAACAGAGAGAGGAACCGAGGCCAGGTCGAACATTAGAAAAAATTGAGAGGAACAGAAGCAACCGTTACTCCAACGCCTCCCCCTTCTCTTTCAAGTCGCACGGTCTAACTCTACCCGTCCGGGATTTACAACGATCGCGGCGCTAGTCACAGCCCAACAACTGCAGCCGTCTCTCTCCCCAGTCCCCTCGGCCTTTCCGCCGCCACCGCGGGCGGCGGGCGAACAGCGCGGGGCCGGCCTCCGCGCGTCCGGCGAGCCTCCCGGCCTCCCGAGGCCGCGGAGGGCGGCAGGTCTTCGGCCCCCGGCCAGGCTACGCACGTCCCGTCCCGCGTCCGGCCGCCGAGCAGAGCTGCTCCGAGAGGCCGGTACCGGCCACTTTATATAATCCCCCGGCTCGCGGGGCGCGGGGCCGGGAAAAGTGCGGAGCAGGGAATTCTTTTGCTGCGCTTCCTCCTACGCGGAGCCTGTTTTCCACTTCTGAAAAGTGCCAGGCCTTGGGAAGTGTTTTTCTTTTCATTCCTTACTGAAGCGTTTACTGCAGCCGTGCTCGCAGTCATAAATTTTGCTACAAACCACAATGACAGGTGCATTGATATGCACCGTGAGAGCTCCAGCTGCTTAATAACTCCGTCCCCCGGCCGCTGTGAGCGCCTTTTATTTATTCGGTATCATATTTAGGTATTGATCCCGGGCAGAATTAAGTGCAGTCAGTGAGCAAGCATCAGGGTTCGGCTGATTCGGAGGCGCGGCGGGTGCGGCGGGCCACCACGGCCCGGGAAACGGGCGGTGGTCGCTCCGAGGCCGCCTTCCTTCCGGCTGGGAACCGTTTGTCCTTGCATTCCCGGCCTGCGGTTGGGCCTCGGAGCTGAGCTGGGCAACTTCCCGGGACCACGAGAAAGAACCAGCCAAACCCCGTTTGGTGCCCCTTCCCCAGGAAGAGCCGGGGATGGCGCCGGCGGGGTTCTGGGGAGGCTGCCTCGGCCGGTGTTCCGGGCGGGGTGGGGGGGCCGGGAGCCGGGGGGGGGCTGGTTGTAGGGTGGGAGCAGGATTGGGAGGTAGAGGGCAGGAGGAGAGGAAAGGGCAGCTGAGGACTTCGAAAACCGCCCCTCCCCCTACGCGAGTTAGTCTTCACCCCAAGGCATTTGGGTCGGGGGCCCAAATGAGCAGAGGTACCAAAGGGTGAGAAAAGAAAGCCTTAAAAGGGGGGGGGATCGAAAAGATGAGCCACTGAACAGTTGACCATTGTCCAAGTGATTTATGACCCGTTCCTGCTTCTTAGGTTCAAGCAGAGTTCACAAGGAGTAGTGATTTCTGGAAAGAAATAAGCTTTTTTAAAAAAAACCAGTTTTGTAACAATATCCTCAGGTTCTGTTTTAGGAAAGGTGACTTCTTTGGAGCTCTACATTTTGGGGTGGGGGAGAGGCTGCAAAGCCCTTTTCAGTGAGGAGAGAGCTACTGCCCTTGCCTCTGGGAAGATGGACATTTGGGTGGTGGATCATCACTGAGTGACCCTTGAAATTCCTTAAGACAATGAAAACAGAAGTGGGAGAACAGACTCTGTGCTTATTCATGGAGCTGCCCAGTATTTGCACTTTTGAGGTACATGCACAGAGCTTTGTCTAGGAGTATGCCATAGGAACAAATATATATGTAAAGCTATCTGTTTCAAAGACTTGGTCAGTTCCGAAAGAAGCTATTTTAATGTGACTGGTCTACCTATCAAGATAAACTTGGTCACCCTGGGAGGCAAGAGGGGGGATGTTTTGCTTGCACTGCTGTAAATGGAGTGACAGAAACAGCAGCGAGTTCTGGTGGTCTGAGTGTCAAATGTGACCATTTTGACATCCAGAGGGACCAAGGTTTAAGACTGGAAGCAGGATCCTAGAAAAGTCCAGAGATTTAACCAGACTCGGAGTACATGTAGTCCTTTGGCCTGTGGGCAAATACATACAAATATTAGTCACAGGATGAGGATGTAGCTGTCCATTTAATAGTCGGTAACTTTAATGGTCAGAGAATGACACAGAAAATGAATGAAAGATTAAGACCAGCTTTGTTTGGTAGATATCCTAATTACATAAGTTTAAGAACAACAACAGAAACTATTCCTAAAACATTACATCCTAGTATTCTGTTATTCCATTGAGAAGGGTCTTTCTCTTATCAAGATTAATGGCATATTCGCTTTTATTTGAAAACAAAATGGGCAACTATACTACCAAATAAAGGCTAATATGAAGAATTTAAAAAAATTGAGTTAGGCTGTTTGGTGAAAGTGTAGGGGAAATGAGTAAATGGAGGAGTGGTTTTAGTACTAGTGGTCAAATCCATTAGGCTACATAAGTTGTCTAGATAATGTGGTCCATCATGATGTCCCTGATGGAAACCAGGGAGTTTGGGGGAAGGAAAGCTGCCTGAAAGATGAGATCAAGAATTCAGACCTGGGAGCTGACCTATGAGTTTTCTTTATCAAGCAGATGAAAGTGGTTGAATGGTATTAGTTATACTTTAACTCATTAGGGGCTTTCAGGAGAAGAGGGGGGTGGGTGAGAAGGTAAGCCCCCCATCAAGAGTCAGAGGACACAAAAGCGGTAGAATTTTTCTTAGTTTTTTTTCCTTCTTCTTCTAATTCTGGGTCCATTCATCATGCCAAGAGAGGTTCTCTCATTGGTTGTAGAGCGGGTGGGAGGTGGGGTGGAATGGATGATCCAGAGCAGAGGTCAATAGTAGTATCTATTTATACAATGGATGCAGGATTAAAATGATAGAGTTATAACATAAAGCATTTTTCATTCGCCCATGCTCCATGCATTTCAAATTCTAAATCTCTTCACTCATTTCCAGTGGTATCCATTTAAAAGTAGTGGAGGACAAAGTTAAGCATCTAGAAAAATGTAGACCAAAGAGAAGAAACTTTTCTAGCCTCAAAATAAGTCTGGGAGTCTTTAAGTCCTCTTCTTGGCTTTTATCTCCTAGTAGATTTCACAGTGCTGACCCATGAGCTAACCGGCCAATTCTCACCCAGTCACCGGAGAGTGGACTATCTGCATCTCCGTGAAAGATGCTGTGATTTTGAAACCAGGTGGGGGAGATACTTTTTTTGAGAGCTCTGGCTTTTCTGAGTGTTATAGGACTTTCTTTTGCCCATCAAAACCCTGGGATGACCTAATGACTGACTGATCCATTCACTCATTCACTCATTCAACAAGCAGTTACTGCATTTACTACATGTGGTGCGCTGGGCTGGATGTTAGGAATACGCAGGTGAATAAGACACAGTCCCTTCCTGCAAAAAGCTCAAAGTCTAGTGGGAGAATCAGTCATTAAAATGCATCAGGCCATAAATGCTCTTCTATGTAGTTTCAAAGGCTAAATTGACAATCTTGGAGAAAGAAAATTGTATCTGGAAAAAAAAAAAGCCCCTTCCCTTGGATAAAGGAAACTCTTTTTTTGTGTTTATGAGAAATTCCTTCTGACTTTTCCAAGGGTTCAAATAAGTTGAACTTTATAAAATCTCAGATCCTCCTACTATTAAGTTGGTGGGAAGCAGAGAGCCTGGGCTAGTCCTTCTATACTGACTGGTCTTGCCAATGACAGTCCCTCTGGGGCCTCTCATTTTTCTTCTTTGCAGGTTGTCTGGAGCCTGGAGCTGCCCCAGCTCTCTCAGGATTTGGCAGACATTGGAGGTGGTGGTGAAGGAGACAGTGGTGGTCAATGTTATTTGAGCAGGGTCAGCAGGCCCCGGAGCTTCCTGAGTACACGATGCAGAAGGCTGCTTACTATGAAAGTCCAGGACTCTTCGGAGGCTATGGCTACAGCAAAGCTGCTGACACTTATGGCTATAGTGCCCCCCATCAGCCTTATCCACCCCCTGCTGCTGCCAACTCCCTGGACACTGATTACCCGGGCTCTGCCTGCTCCATCCAGAGCTCTGCACCTCTGCCAGCCCCAGCCCACAAGGGGGCTGAACTCAATGGAAGCTGCATGAGGCCTGGCGCTGGGAACAGTCAGGGAGGTGGGGGTGGCAGCCAGCCTCCTGGTCTGAACTCAGAGCAGCAGCCACCACCGCCCCCTCCTCCCCCACCAGCCCTGCCCCCATCCTCGCCCACCAACCCTGGAGGTGGAGCACCTGCCAAGAAGGCCAAGGGTGGGCCCACTGCTTCTGGCTCCTCAGCCACCATCAGCAAGCAGATCTTTCCCTGGATGAAAGAGTCCCGACAGAACTCCAAGCAGAAGAACAGCTGTGCCACTGCAGGTAGCTCTCTGAGGGGGCTCATGCCTGGGCTAAGTCCCCCAGACTGACCCCAAGAGACTAGCTCGCCTAGGAATTAAGAGGCTCAGGGCTGGAAGTGCAACTTTGGAGGCCATATGTGTAAACTCCTCATGCAGAAAAAAAGTTTTTTTTTTTGGCTGCGCTGCGCAGTTTGAGGGATCTCAGTTTCCTGACCAGGGATTGCAGAGATTGAACCCGGGCCACGGCAGTGAAAGTGCCGAATCCTAACCACTAGACCACCAGGGAACTCCCTGTTCTTTCTTTTTAGTGTCTCTGATTGTGGTCATATCCTTACAGTGACAGGGTGCTCACGTCCATTCCAGGCTGCTGGCATCATTGCTGGACATGTCTCATAGTTACTCATAGACAGCTCTTCCTTATACTGCCCTAATATCTGCTCTCCTGGGCTGCTGGTCATAACTCAACTCCTTCTTCCACCAACAGCTCTTCAAAACTTGAAGACAGATACTATGATCCCCAAATCCAGGTGGTTATGTAGCCCATATCACATGATTCCCACTCGCTTAAATTAATAAGAACTAAAGTCTGTGGAATGCTATGTTAAGAACCATGTTAAGCGCTTTACAAACGTTGTCTAATTTCATTTTCCAAAGAACGCTTTGAGGTAGGTATATGACAAAACACGCATCGGGAAACTGTTAGAGATAAGTCACTTGCCCAAGATAACAAAACTACAAAATGGCACACCTGGGGAATTCTCTGGCGGTTCAGTGGCTAGGACTCCTCACTTTCACTGCCGAGGGCACAGGTTCAATCCCTGGTTGGGGAACTAAGATCCCGCAAGCTGTGAGGCCTGGCGACCCCCACCCCCACCCCCGCCCAAACAATAAAAACAAGAACAACAAAAAACAAAACCAAAAAAACCCCAAATTACACACCGGAATCCAACCAGGGTCTGCAAAGAATAACCATGGGACTCTACTTAGCCCACCCCAGCTCAGTTCTCCCCATCCCATTAAATCCCTAATGTGGAGGCACATATCCTAAGGGAAGAGGATGTACTCTGAAACAGGAGCAGCCTTGGGTTTTTCTCCCTGGAAAAGGAGACCCTGGAGTTGAGAATATTTCCCGTAGGTCCATTTAGGGGGTGTGGAAGAAGACAGGTAGGGCCAGGAGCTCTGAGGCCTTCTGCCTCTCTGTGCTCAGCCTGTTTGGTTCCTGAACTTTTCTGGCCTTGCGTTCTCTGATGTACTTTATCTTCAGGTAGATGAACTTGCTCCCAGACGCAGGGCTAGCTTGAGGCCTGGGATGTAGTTAGCTTGTTGTCAGCTCTCTGGTTTGCCTGCTGCTCTGTGGGGCTGCTGCTCGTAGGGGGAAGTGTCTTCAAGTCTTTAAGTTCCTTCTCCTTCTGCCCCTCCTTCTCAGCTGCACACCCAGGCCCTCCCTCCCTGGAGAAATCCATTTGTCTTCCCAGGGAGGGAGTGGACAAGCTGCTGAGAGGTGGCAGGGGTGGTGGAAACCAGGGCTGAGGCTGCTGCTCCTAGCATTGCAGTATTCAAAATATGCCCAGCCTGGTCTTGGATCCTCTAAAACTCTGGGGCTGTAATTTTATGGTTTGTCACCTCCCTGCATTTGGGTACTGAGCTCATGGGTGCAGCTGAGCTGGAGTGAGGTGCCAGGATCTCCACCCTCATTCGGTGCTTGGGGTGCTTTGCCCAGGAGCCAGACTCTGAGCAAGGCAGTTTGGGGCTGCCTCCAACCGCACCCCCCCAACCCCCTTCCCAGCTGTAGAGGCTGGAAGGACTGTTCAAAAAAGTCTGGCCCTGCTTTGACAGGGGGGATGGCCTTACCAGCTGCTACTAGTCTCTCATTAAACTCCTCCTCAGCCTTTGGGACGAGATGATGGGCTAGGCTGAAGGGGAGGCGGTGGGCAGAATGAGTTGGACTTCAGAAGGCAGATGGGAGTTTCAGGTGCCACTAATAGGTAGGCCTGGGGACTTTGAGCTCTTGGAATCTCTTGGAATTTCACCTCTCAAACGCCCCTCCCCCACTCCAGCCGTGATTAAGGTGGTGGGAGGGAGGGAGGAAGAGGAAGGAGCCTGGGAAGCACCTCTCTCCGGCCCAGGGTGTCCCCACCTCTCCCGCTCAGCGTCCCCTCTCTCTCCCTCCTTGCCCAGGAGAGAGCTGCGAGGACAAGAGCCCACCGGGCCCAGCGTCCAAGCGGGTGCGCACGGCGTACACAAGTGCACAGCTGGTGGAGCTGGAGAAGGAATTCCACTTCAACCGCTACTTGTGCCGGCCACGCCGCGTGGAGATGGCCAACCTGCTGAACCTCACCGAGCGGCAGATCAAGATCTGGTTCCAGAACCGGCGCATGAAGTACAAGAAGGACCAGAAGGCCAAGGGTATCCTGCACTCGCCGGTCGGTCAGTCCCCGGAGCGCAGCCCGCCGCTCGGCGGCGCCGCGGGCCACGTGGCCTACTCGGGCCAGCTGCCACCCGTGCCCGGCTTGGCCTACGACGCGCCTTCGCCGCCCGCCTTCGCCAAATCTCAGCCCAACATGTACGGCCTGGCTGCCTACACGGCGCCGCTCAGCAGCTGCCTGCCGCAGCAGAAGCGCTACGCGGCGCCCGAATTCGAGCCCCACGCCATGGCGAGCAACGGCGGCGGCTTCGCCAGCGCCAACCTGCAGGGCAGCCCGGTGTACGTGGGCGGCAACTTCGTCGACTCCATGGCGCCCGCATCCGGGCCCGTCTTCAACCTGGGCCACCTCTCGCACCCATCTTCAGCCAGCGTGGACTACAGTTGCGCCGCGCAGATTCCCGGCAATCACCACCACGGACCGTGTGACCCTCATCCCACCTACACAGATCTCTCGGCCCACCACTCGTCTCAGGGACGCCTGGCCGAGGCCCCCAAACTGACGCATCTGTAGCGGCGGCCACCGGCCCGAACTCGCGGCGCGATTACCTCTTTTGCTTGGGTGGCGGGGGGTGGCGGGCGGGGCCCGCGGGGCAGCTCGGTGACCCCCGCCCTCGCTCTGGCCCGGTCGCTGTCTTCCGGTCTCGGGCCAACAGCGGCCGAGGCGCAGGCGTCTGGGCCTCCTCTCCAGGCTCGCCCTGCTTTGGGTGACTCGCCATAAATCAGCCGCAAGGATTCTCCTCTGTAAGCCTGACAGTGCCACATAACTGCGGACCGAGGGACTCTAATCTGGTAATGGTGTCCCGAAGGTAAGTCTGAGATCCATCGGCGACGCGCCCTGCAGAGGGTCCAGAACCCGGAGAGTCCGGGCATGGCCCGCGTCTAGTTTAGTTGCGGAGACCTTAATTTATATGCTTCTTCCCGTCCCGTAAAGATTGCATCGGACTCAACGATCTGTATTTATTATTTGAAGCGAGTCATTTCGTTTTCCTGATTATTTATCCTCGTCTTAATGTATTTATGTGTATATCTGTAGAATTCTCCAGCCGAGCTTAGGAACGCGCTCCCAGGCCGCGGGGGCCACATTTCACCTCTTTAGTCCCCTTGGTCTGAACTAGTTGAGAGAGTAGTTTTGAACAGTTGTAACCGTGGCTGGTGTGTGTAGTTGATGTAAAGGATTAAGACCGCAAATTGTCCTTCACGGGTAGAGTCAGGCGGCCCCATGGCGTGGCATGACACCCGTTATTCTCTTCCCAATAGCCACAGCCCTCGCCACTCGACACAGTTTATTGATTTCAAATTGTCTGGTACTATTTGAACAAATATTTAGAATAAAAAATTTTCTCAGTCTTAAGTGTATCTGTGTTAATCACGCACACTTGCAAGTAGATCACTCTACCTTTATCTTGCGCACAATCCCGGTGGAAGGCCCCCCAGTAGGCTGACACTTTGAAATATTTTTTCCACTTATTTGGAATCCAGTACACAAACTGGTTCTGGGGATACTTGATTACCTTCCAACTATTGACTTTAGGTTGTGTGTGTGGGGGGGGAATATTTGAGGATGCAAACCTAGAAATGTTCTGTGTGGGATGACCTGGGTAGGGTGTTTCACTGCTGCCTGTTTTGCTGTTTCTATCGCCCTCCTTCTAGACACAAATCCACTTTTTTAGATTGCACTTACATTGGGGAGGCCAGAGCTCACTTTTCTGCGCTAAGTAGTAAAAAATAAACTTTGAAAGAAAACTGACAATCAAAGACACAAGAGAAGTCATAAGAAGAACTGAGCTATGAAAAAGCTAAGATGCAGAAAAAGAAATAATCATTTGAAGCCATGCACCTAAGCTTTTTCTCTAGGAAATTCGGTCACGATTTTTTCCTTATAGAAGTCAGTAGTTCATTTCTCAAGAAGACAAACGGTCCCCGTGATGTAAAGTAATAAAAGTTTCATTAATGGAACATAACAAGTATAAACACTTTGTTCACTCCTGCTTCTTTGGACAAAATGGGCAAAATGTCTTCGAGGAATTATAACCATTTTGTAAATATTAGTGTGGTTTTAGCTGGGGCGCACTACTTACCCCCGCTTCTCTAGAAGGAGGCACTCGGAGAACGCCTTCAGATAAGGTTCAATTCTTTTGTATTTCAGCAAAGTGGGCCCACGCATCTCTATTTGGTTTGACAAATAATGCAACTCCTACTACATCCCCGGTGACACGAGGTGACATTCCTATTGTGTGGAAATAATTTAACTTCTGATCTTCTGGTGGAACAACAATCGTTTCTATTTGGATGTTTGTGTTTCGCTAAATAGTGATGGCTGAAAATAATATTTAGTTTTCTTGTTCCTCTGTGCTGTTTTTAAAATGGCATGTTAGATTGGGGGGGTGGGAGGGGATTATCCTTTTTGCTAAATTTCACTTCATCCGAGCAGGTTTAAAGTATACATGTTGTAGAAGTGTATCAACAGAATAAATGACTTCAACCGAAGGGATATTTTACCCACTTTCAAGGCTTAAAATTGTTTTTCTGTGAAATTTGCATCCATAGGCAGAATTTCTAATTGTCTTGTAAGAAATTATTTTTTAAAGCTATTAGGGAAATCAAAGAAGAGCTTGCTGCCTTGCAGGGATTACAACAACCCTTCTTAACTGGCTAAATATTAAACAGATGAATTGTCAGGCTGTTTAGATTCCGCCCGGTTTTCCCTCATCTCCTCTTCCCACCATAAATAATAAAAATACATAATGCATCATGGCTCCAGGCGTTTTCCAGCGCGGTGTGTTACCGCAGGAGTATCTGCTGAGTCTGCGGGTGTCTGCAAGGCCCCAAGTGTCATCTGCGGCTTAGCGTTTCATGGATTAGATTTTAAACGGTGTCTAGCCCGGCTGACATAGCCTCCTCTCACACTCGGGCTGAAAGAAGCGCGGGGTTGGGGGCTTCCTCTTCAGGCAGCCGCAGCCGCCCCTCGCTAGTGGGGTGGGAGTTCTCTTGGGACAAACCTGCGGTCCTCTCTCACCTCTGGAGAAAGGTTCCCTGAAGCTTCTGAGAGCCGCTCGGATGGATCCGTTCCTGCCACTGGCGTGAGCGTCATGGGATGGCCACACTCGGTGGCTCCCGGCGCGAGTGCGGGCGGCGGCGAATCTGGGGAGGGCGCTTCCCGCGCGGCCGCCGACCAGGGCGAGAGCGGGGGCGCGCGCACGGCCATTTAAAACTTCATAAATTATAAACAAGCCGCCTTGGCCTTCGCCATAAATACTGCTGCTTTTGAGCCTGCAATTAGTGTTAGGAAGCACCGGAGTCTAAACACAACGAAACGCCCTCTGAAGGGCTCCAATGCCCGAGGTTGCAAACCTTTATTTCCCAGTGCCACCCCCTCCGCACCCCGAGGTTTGCACACAGTCGCCTCCTCCCCCGCCACCACCGGCGTTGTACACCCGGCTGGCTTCCCGCTCTGCGAGGGAAGGTCACAATAGCTGCTCTATCGGCGAAGGCGCCCGCCTCCTCCCTCCCGGGTCTCGGAAAAGCAGAGAAAGAAGAGTGGGGGAGGGGAGCCCTGGGCCCGGCCTGGCGCTCCGGGTCCAGGCCTCTCCTTCTCCCGGAGCGGACTGCAGCGGGAAGGGGCAAGTTTGCAGCGGAAGGAAACCGCCATCCCAGACCGAGGCTTCTTCCCGGGAGCGGCGCGCGGGGGGCCGTGGGGAGCTCACCACGGCCTCGAGGCTGCTGGCCTCTCGCTACCGGGCGCTGGGTCCAGGGCGCCTGGAGCAGCGGGTCTTCCGGGAGCGGCGGCGCCATTGTGCGCGCGGCTTCCCACGGGCCCCGCGGCGGGGAGGCCGCACAAAGGCGGCGCGGGGGCCGACACCGGCAGGTGGTGAGGGTCCCGCCTCTCTCCGGGCCTTGGGCTCCAGGAGGCTTTTACCTCGTCTGCGCAAGGGGAGGAAATGGCTCTCTGGCTGTGGCCGTGGCCAGCTCTGCCTTTGTCCTACAGAGAACGCTTTGAGGGAAGTGGGATCAGGGAGTTTGTGGGGGAGTCTCCTGGGACCTGAAGAAAGGGCTCGGGGCCTCAAGCCCAGGCCCACGTATGGGGGGTGGCGGTCATTCGGGAGCCCCTGGTTGCTCCGTCGAGGCAGTCAAACGTGAATTAAAGCAGCGCTGAGTTGAGGTAGCTGGAATGGCCAGCTGCAAAATGGGAGGTGGGGTGGGAAAAGATTTCGGCCGAGTGAGAGCCTGCCCTGGCTACGAGGAGAAACTCAGGACCCAGCCTGGAGTGGAGTCAGAAGACCCAACTGAGCTAGCCAGAGGGGTGGGGAAGTTGCTGAGGAAAGGCCTGAAGAGTAGTCCTGGCCCCTGGAAAGGTGGCAAGAAAGGGCGACTACACATTCTACCTCCTGGCTTTCAGACCTCAGCCTTATCCAGCGACCTGACAGAGAAGAATCCGCCTCTGATGGAATCATTAAGTTAACCCTCCATTTGTACCATTTCTTTGTACAGGCGTTCAGATGAGAGAGGGAGAGAATACAGAGCAAGTGCTTTCCCCTTGGAGCAACCCAAGCCTAGTCTCTATCAGAGACACATCAGCCAAATTAGTTTCCCAGGCCCCGGAGGGAGGCTGCTAACCTTGCTGAAAAGGAGTTTTTGAATTTCTATCTGTAAGGAGTATTAAAAAATAGTGATTAACTATACTAGCTACTCGTCCCTTCTCCCTCCCCCATTCTGTACCAGCCACCTGACCCTTGAGTGAAGTGATCTTCTCAGCCAGCAGGCTTGGGAGCCTAGGCTCCCCATCTGTTGAGGTTTTTCATTAGGGAGGGTGAAGAGGATATGTGTGTGGGTGTATGTTTGAATAACAAAGAAGAAACCCAACATTCTAATAAAAAGTGTTTCTCTGCTTGACCTGGGGGAGCCAGAAGCTTGTTTACACCATGAATATTCAAGGGACAGTCACAGGCCTGTTTTGACTTTATCCTGAGAATTAGTTGAAACTTCCTCCTATAGACAAGAATGGGTTAATCCCAGTTAGATCCAGGAAGGTCCTCTTCATCTGGCAACTCTTGGCCTTACTCTGCTCCTTCTTTCAGAAACTGTAAGAAAAGAATAGGGCGAACAGAAGTTTATATTAAATAAAAATAGAAAGAGAGACAGAAGTCTCCAGTCCCCACAGGCCTATAGCCTGATTACTTCAGGGCACTGCAACTTCCCTTAGAGGGGCCTGGGTGAGCAGACCCATCCCTAGACACTTTGGGCACAGGGAGCTGAGACTGAGTTGCCAGCCACACCCTCATCACCTCTGACTACTGGCTCACTTAGACCTCTCTTGCAGAAGGCCGGGATGGAGAGAAAAAAGATAGGGTAGATGAATCCTCTGCACTTACTACACTGGTGATACTGGTAGTGGAGAGGATCATCACAGAGGATGAAATCTTAGTTATCATTGCTCCCTTGTATTCTACTCCAGCTACAAATGCCCTTATTTTTGGGGCTCAAAGTTGGTTCCCAATGGATTTTTATACCTGGCCCAAAGCCCATGCCTAAACACTTCGCTCAGGTCTCATAGTCACCTTGGCAAGTTAGGAAAGTACAAAGACAATTCAAAGACCCACTTTCAGGCCCAGTTCAGCCTGAAGCACAGTGAACAAAAGGTTTCCACACATGCAGGAAGAACCAAGGTAAATAAATGCATGTCCAGTCATTTGCAGTAGCAGAAGCAGGCGAAGGGTCCCCAGGAGATCAGCATGGTGGGAGATATGACAGAAGTCTTCTTGTCCCAGGTCTTGTGGCAAAATATCTTGATTGTTTCCTATATCTAGTCTGGATCATTGTTATGGAAGAATAATAACTGGAAAACCATTAGAATAGGATTTTAACATTAGTAAGAGCCCAAGGAGGAGATCTTAATTTAAATGAGGATGCATGGAGAACCCCGATACAAATGCAGTGTTTTTGCTGGGGAAATGGGGCTAAAACCGGGCGAAGAGGACCTGTTGGACCAGGGCCTTTTTGAAGGAACGGAGAAGAGTGTCCCTGACTTATGAGGAGACAGGGAGAAGGTCTTTTGATGGCTCTATTGTTCAGAGTGCTGCCTTACAAATACCACATCCCTCCCAACTTCCACAAGGGCCCAAGGGCCGAGGGAGCGGGAAACTGGGTCGCTTGGGCTGAGCTCCAGGCAGTGGCAGAGCCACGACTGACCTCCCTCACCCGCGTCTCCTAACCTCTTGGGGCAGCAACGATGCCATCTCCGCCGCCGGCAGAAAACACACAAAGGAGGCCCCCACCCATCCTCGAACCTGGGGACACACTGGGGAGGGGCTGGCGTGGACCCCGAGTCCGAGCACCTCCCACCCCCGCGG